ATAGAAATAGAAAGACTGTGGCAAAAGCAAGCAAAAGTAGTACCAATAGTAATAGGCGCCTTAGGTGCAATTCCAAAACAACTGGAGCACCACTTGAACACCATTGGCATTGACAAATTTGCTATTAGTCAATTGCAAAAGGCGGCCTTACTAGGAACTGCTTCCATCCTGCGACGATATCTGTAATACCATCAAACATTCACATCTGCCTATCCCAGGTCCTGGGAAAGGACTCGATAGGTAGACAAAATGCCAAATCCAGTCTGAACATCTGGCTGACTGTGCGATGATCCATAATAATAATATATGACGGGATCCGGTAAAGGACCTTGTAGTCCCTTTATTTGGCATAGAGTTGGGGAGACTGGATGGAACTGAGCATTTACTAGCCGGATGTCCTTCCTGATGCCTATGTGGAGTTCGCAGCAGATATTTTTTCTTTGCAGTCCAAGAGAGAAACATCTGCCGCTACCTAGGATTGAACTATGTGGGAGGTGAGTGTCTTCACCACTAGGCTACTGTGCCACTCTAAAAAGACACTTTGTAATAAAATAATCAATTAAAAAATAAGATTAGTTTTAGCAATTATTTGTTTTTCTCTGGAAAAATTAAGACAAAAGAAAAAAAACTTTAAAACCTAGAATGATGGTTTAAAACATATTAACATATGCTAAAACAGACAGAATATAGGAGATAGACTGGAATGAGAGAAAAATTACCAGAAAAATATCTGATACTTAAAAATATTATTTCTGGTAAAATTGTTAATGTAGGTCAATCATAAAGAAAATCACCATAAAGTTATTTATAGATAGGATAAGGAAGGGTCACACCTTTTGGTAACAGGTAATTCCATTAAAAGTGACTAAGCTAACAGAACTTACTGAAGCTTGCATAATACTTCCTAATGGACATCTAAGTAGAGCTGCTTGTTTTGTTTGAGCTACAGAAAATTATCACCTGAGAAATCTTTTCTGCAGTTGTAAAACCACCACTTCTGTTGGAAAAAAGTCCCAATTAGTGGCCCAGCCTCAATGTTAGGAATGTGACTGTTCCTTTCTTCCTAAATATTCTGATATCCTCTGGCTATTAGAAAGCCCTGGTGGCACAGTGGTTAGAATGCAGTATTGCAGGCTAATTCCACCGACTGCCAGCAGTTCAATTCTCACAGACTCAAGGTTGACTCAGCCTTCCATCCTTCCGAGGTTAGGAGCCAGATTGTTGGGGACAATATGCTGGCTCTTTAAACCACTTAGAAAGGGCTGTAAAGCTGTATGAAGCAGTATATAAGTCTAAGTGCTATTGTTATTGCTATTGCTATTCTCTCACACAAATGTGTGATAGAATTATTATTAGCACTGACTGTGGAATCAGCGAACTGGAGCAGACCATTTTTCTGGAAGAAACCTTACATAGAGATGTTCCCCTAATCCAGTGGTGGCGAAACTATGGCACGGGTGCCAGAAGCGGCACTCAGAGCCCTCTCTGTGGGCACACGCGCCGTCGCCCCAGGCATAGGCCTTCAGCTGGGTTTAATAAAACCTTTTCGCTTTAGGCCTCCGCCATGTACAAAAAAAAAGGTTCAATCAATCAGTCAATTTCAACTTCTCGCGGGAAAAGATCTTGCAAAGTTGGAATTGATTGATTGAACTTTTTAGTCCCACCCAGTCTGCCGTTACCACCGCAGCCACACCCAGCCAATGGGCCACACCCAGCCAATGGGCCACACCCAGCCAATGGGCCACACCCACCCGGCACCCGATGATGCATAAGTGGGTTTTGGGTTGCAGTTTGGGCACTCGGTCTCTGAAAGGTTCGCCATCACTGCCCTAATCTCTAAGCTACAAAGGTGGTCAAGTGCTGGGGCTGAGATATTGATGCCACCTTCTCTAAAAAGTGATAGCCTTGGGATTGCCCAAAAGTTCATACCTTCTTAGGGTGGAGATACTGCAGGAGTTACTGACACTGGTTCGTGCCTTTCTCATTAATAGACTGTAGGATGACATGTAGGGCCCACATAATTTACGTGAGAAGGCAGAAGGTCTACTATAGACTGGGTTCCATGTAATCTATTATGACACTTCAGCTGTCAAGAAATAGTGGTATCTCCTAGGCATGACTTATATGGAACTATCCAAAGTGAATGTTATACACAACAACATTATTAGGGACTCTGAGTTAATGATATCTACTAGTGCTGCAATGATTTTCTTTCTTTTTTTTCTACAATTCCTCTGACATTTTTGTTAGACAACACAAGTTTCAAGTAGTAACCCAGCTGGTATAATGTCATAATGTTTTAACTAAATTGATTCCTGCTATAAGTTCCCAAGTCCTAGAATGAAGAATGGAGATAGCTAGATAGATGCAGAATGTTTTCTGAAAACACTTCAGTGTACATTTTAGTTATACTTTAGCTATATCTCATTAGCTAAGGCCATTTTAAGATAAAGGAGCACATGCTATTGTGATTTCCAGGTTTAATATTTTATTCCATTTCCTATAATTAACCAACATTGTATGGTCAGAATGTGAGAATTGAACAGAATTGAATAAGTGCATAACTGAACAGAATTGCCTATTCAGAATATGATATCACAATTAATGGTTAGACAGTCAGTGTACAGCACTGAATGTGAAGTGTGA